ACAAGGAATTGAGTCACCTTTCCTTAGAATGGGCACAAATATGGATCCCTTTCAGTTGTTTGACCAGTTGGTGTCTTCAAATTTCTTGGCATAGTGAGTGCTTCCTGTGCTGCACCAGTTTGTTGAAACATTTCAATTTGTATTCCATCAGTTCCTGGACCTTTGTTTTTCTCTATTACCTTCAGTGTAGCTTGGACTGTTTCCTTCGATACCATCAGTTCTTGATCATATGCTTATTCATTGAAAGGAGTGCTGGTATGGGCTGTAGGCTAAGTACTGGACTACAAACCACAGGGTTGGCAGTTCAAATCCAACAGCCACTCCTTGGAAACTTTATACAGGGTCGCCGTGAGTGGGAACCTCTGAGAAGAGCTGTCATAATGTATCAGTTCATTTCTAGTTAAAGCCAGTGTATTGTACCACACTTAAATTTTCTTTCTCAGTCATCTGATCACAAGAATTCCCCATAAATTCAGAGATATGGATTGATATAGCATAAGCAATTGTTGTGGGATCTTAGCTACCTCTTATCAACATACTTAGGAGTTGCCCATCTTTTTCAGTCCTATGGATTGTAAGGAACAATTTGCCACCACTAACGATTTGTTACTTAAAAACCTTTCTGATTACTGTTGTAGCCTTGCTTCCCTTTTCTTTCAATGCTTAAATGTTGTTACTTTTGGTCCAGAATCTATAACCCCCAACAGGAATCCAGGGCTCTCTGCAATAACAGCATCTCCCATTGGGATCTACCAACTACAGTGGGTAGCCATCTCAGAGATTTTCAAGGATGTTGATGCTCCCCTTTGCAATGTGTTTCTCAGTGCTGGTAGAAAAGAGTTCTCTGAATCTTCTTGGGGGCAGAATGAAAAAATGAATAGGTGGCACATAATAAATCTGCTCTAATATCCTGACTTCCTATGTATTTTTTATTTCTTCATCTCCATTATTTGCCATCACAATTTCATTTTATATGGGTCACTACTGAGTCTAGGTTATAGGTAATCATCAGAGCAAACTGTTACAGCTACTCCAAGCTGCTGAAACTAGCAGATGGAGTGCTCATTCTAA